TCTAAGGGGAAGCAAGAGTCAAAACAGTTTGAAGAAGATGTGTACCCCTTCTCCCAGGCCCTCCCTGACAAGTCCAACATTCCTACTCACTGGTGCCTTCATGTAGTACATTGTAGAGGGATCCATATGGCATCCAGTGTGTAATGAGTGTAGGGTGAGGAGCAGGTGGAGACTGGCAGGCACCTAACACTGGGAGCACGTTCGGGTGTGAGAAAATCCTGGGAGAGGGAAAGATTGTCCCTGGCTGAGAATTATGATAAAAGATCTCCCCTTTCTGTACCATTCAGAGTTCCTCGGAACCAGCAACTTCCAGTTTAGACCTTGCCCCACCTGAGCCGGGGACACTCCTCATTGAAGTCCCTGCTTTTCCTTGTACTCCAGTCTCGAACCTTCAGCACCTTCACGACAATGTCATTACCCTGCCAGCGGCCCTTCCATAGCTGAAGGACAAGTACAGGTTAGGAGGCTTTAAAGCCACCACTTCTTTGTCTATTAACTGGGAGGAAATCTTAAAAGCAGGTGCAAAGCAGGTAATTTGTGGGGGTTTTGGAAGGGAGGGACAAGAAGGGGAAGAGTCACCTCTCCAGAGTGATTCTCATTGAGCTTCGCCAGAAAGTTGAGCTGTTTAAAGTCAATGCCCGAGTGTTTGTTCAGGGTCCCGTTTCCTAAGAATATGGGCAGGTCAGGCACCCAGCTTTGCCCTAATCCAGCCCAAGGAGCCCAGGATAACACTATTTCAACCCCTCCCCCCACAACAGTGACTCACTGGGCCGAGTACGGGTGGTCCCCTTCCAGAATGTGTCCTTGTATGGAATACGGTTGAGATTCTGACCCATCTTCTCTGCCCGTTCTGGGGAAGAAAAACAGCCTGAGTTGTGGTAAAGAGGAAGGACACAGGCAGGGAAGGACAAGACAAGAGAACCAAGGGGTAAGGGATGGACCTCGGAGAAGCTCTCTCAAGGGTGCCTTGGCTTTGTCTACAGGCATCTCGCCATACTTGTTACAGATGCTGACAAGGGCTCCATTAGCCACCAGATCCTGGAATGAAAAGGTGGTTTTGATGAGTACCCCTGCTACTTCTCTGGCAGTCAACAATCCTTTTGAGTGTCACATGATAGTACCGATAGGATAGGTTGAGGTTTTAGGCTCACTTTGCTTCTTACCCGTCCCAGGACTTGGGGCCTGAGTACTCACCTCTGCCACTTGATCCTGGCCCCAAAAACAGGCATAGTGYAGAGGCACATTCCCATGCTCATTCACTGCATTGATGTCAGCCTTATACTGCAACAGCTGGGCCCCATGGCCAGACAAAAAGAAGAGATAGAAGGCAGTCAGTCCCAAATGTGTTCCAGCATGGAAAATGGGAAGGCACCTTAGATTATAAGTGCCTGCTGACCTCATGGTATGTCTGTGATATGGATGATGGAGGGTTTTGTGCATACCTTTTGTACAATATCACGATGTCCGTGACTAGCTGCCAGATGCAGGGGGGTGTCATCCCCACGGTTCATCACATTGATCCGTGCCCCCCTCATGATCAGCATCTCAACCACTGCAGAGCGGCCCTCTCGGCAGGCCCAGTGCAAGGGAGAAAAGCCATGATCATCCCTTAGAAAAAGGGCAAGAGTCACTGAGCTGAAGGTGGTCTGAGAAAAAGCTTTGATTCATGAAAAACGGATGGTTATTCTGTACACACTCTGGTAAGGCTCCCTTCTCTAGGACTTCTCATTCATGCCAGCAACTTCCAATTGTCCAATTCACTTTCCCCTGAGCTTGCCACCCAACCAACCATCTAGAAAACTTAACTTCATGGGAAAGGAAACACACTGTTTAACTCTGATATTGAAAACTAATATCTAAAAAGGAATGGAATTAAAAATGATGTTTTGGAGGGATTTATAAAGAAAAGGGGAAATGCTTTTGATTACTATGAGAAAACACCACACAAAACATGATTCTCCTACTTAGCAGTAATGGACAGAAAGTATGAGAAGGTTGTTTAGAGTGAAAACCATCCCTGTTTTTTTCTTTTCCCAGGGCATATGTTTTATAAAGTAAAAGAAGTGTACAAGCAAAACAATTGGGTGGGAGCTAGGTCGGCCTGACAGCTTGGAGCCATAAAAGGAAATTCCCTCTTGTCCTGGGCTTTTGATCTGAGGGGCGGAGCAGGGGGCGGTCCCAAGCCCTGGCCACAGCCTCCGGATGCCTTACTGCTGTGGTCACTTCCTGCGGGGGCTCTAGACGGGGAGCCTGGAACAGATCAAGGGTCTGGCCACCCAGGTGCCCCAACGAGTTGAAGAGTGTGTGCGTGGGGAGGGGGRCAGGGGGGTTGCTTTTAATGAAATAATTTCCTTTCCACATCTGTCCTCTTCTGCTCACAAATAGCCAAAGTTTTCCCAGGAAGTGGGTATCCCCGGAAGCTTCACCCTCACCCCCCAGCTTTGCCTCCCAAACCTTCAATTTATACCCTTATCAGCTTCCAGCAGTCTGTGACCCCAAATTTGACGGCATAGGTATGGGCAAAAGGGTTCTGTCCACTGTCAGGCTGTTTGTTACTTCAAAGTCTGGACTATTATCTCAAGCAGGCCTGCAGGGAATTAACCACCATCTCATATCCAGCATATAGACAGTTTGGGCTCCCACACTCTAGTACCTCAAACCAGCAATGAAATCTTCCGATATCACCAATGCTACCTCTTCACCTTTTGGCAGTGAGGAATCTTCAAATATGTCTGTCACACTGGGCAGCTCTGCCTAAACCTCTAAATTTCCTCAGAACAGAATAATTACTGTACCCACTCTCTTATCAGAGTACCCTTTATGAATTATATGGGAAATGAAACTAGTGATTTTGCAAATTATTAAAGAAAAACAGCATAAGACTATTGGAACCAGTGCAGCCTGGACTAAGATGATAGATGATCCTGATCTCTCAAACCTAAAGAATAATCACTCCCACACTTTTCCAAAAAAAAAAAAAAAAAAAAAGCTAAAAAATTAAAATCCACTCTCCTGAATTGCCAACACTACTGCTTGTCTTGGTTTCTTGCGTCAGGCAACATTGAAAACTAATCCACATTTATTTTCTCTTATTTCCTCACCTCCCATTCACTTTCCACCTGCCCAAGTCACCACCTTGAGGACAAAGATTATCTATGGTTGTGGGACTAGCACCCACCACAGGAGGTATTCAGTACAGTTCCTCAATTGAAGGAACCCTATGTAGTTTGATTTCTTCACCAATTAATCATCTGAAACAGCACTCAGAGATCATAAAATATATTCTAATTGTAAATGCAACAGTAACTTCAAAACATTTAGGTTCTTTTACTTCTCAGTAGYCTATACTATTATTCACCATTCCCTCTGTTAATACATGTATTCTCTAACCTTTATTTTCTATTTCTTCAACTTCTGATTGTATCTTTTCAGTCGGCCAGGCTTTTCATCTCCTACTGAGACAATCTTCACTATCATGTACAAGCTACTGTATCTCCAATCTGCTTACAAGTCAGATCTCTCTCCTGAACTCCAAATCTATGTAAACCTACTTAACATTTCCAAGTTGCTGTACAATCACCCAAGTTTAATATGTACAGAACAGAAAGCCTCAACCTTCAGTTTTCTCCATCTCAGTAAAAGCAACCACTAGATCTGTCCAAGTGCCCAAGTCAAAGCCATCCTTCATTTTCCACACCAAGCCCATTAATTTTTCATCCTTAAGATTTCTGGAAGCTGATCACATCTCATTTTACATCTTCCCAAATGTGATCCAAAACATCACTTCTAGGATGAACTAGGAAATTGCATGCTTTTCACAAAGCATCTAAGATGATACTCATGGAACATCTTATCACTACACAACCTTAAAACCAAGCTCTTAGAATAGAAGCATGACTCCTGCAGGTCTCTCCAGCCCTTTCTCTTGTTCTTTTTCACTTATACCCAATGCTCCATCCCACAGAGCTCTTCTATCCTCCAGCAACATGTAACTCCAGACAATATCCTGGCATTCTGTGCTGTCTTGCCTCCTAACGTTTGCCCATGTAGTTCATTAAGACTATGAAGCTCTTTGCAGCCTCTGCTTGTGAAACTTCACAGTTAAGATTCGGCGCAAACACTGCTTCCTCTGTGGAGACCCTTTGCCCACGACAGGCTGTGCTTAGCGCTCATTACATTGGATGGCTAAGTCAGCAGTCCCCCACTGGATGTGAGCACCCCACGTAGTGGAGAAAGAGACTTCCAACCGCTTCAGCTCACCCCTGGTTGAGATCGTTCTCCGTGTTGTCCAGCCACAGGCGCACGGCAACCGCGTTGCCCTCCCGGCACTGAGTGAAAATGTCGTCCATAGCAGCGTCCCGGCGAGGGGGAAGCCTGGGGACTGTGGGGGTTCCCAGGGAAGGGGGATGAGCCCGAGCTTTATCCGCTAGAGGGAAAAGTGTTGGTGCTGAGGAGGGGGGTGGGCGTTGTGCCCTGGCTAATAGTGGTCTGTGAGAGAGTTCAGGGAGAGTGGATATTCCCCTGGGCGCGAGGGAAAGGAAGGTCCAGGAGGGGTAGGAGTGATCACGAGGCTATCTCCAGAATCCAAGTCGCACAGCAGGCGCGGAGACCCTACCCTCGAACAGCGCTCTGAGTGGGGGGTGGGGGTGGGGGATGGGGAAGTGGCTCTGGCTCCGTTTACCCTGGGAGACAGGATGGGGGTCCTTCCCGAGGATCGCTCTGGTTCCCTACTCAGAACTCAGGCTGAGTGAGGAGTAACGGGTTGGCAGTCTTGGTCAGCGGGCGCCGGTCCTCCCGCACTCACCGGGTCTCGGGCTGGAGGCGCCTTCTTCGGGGAACTCCCGTCCGGCCGCGCCCGCCGCCCGGCCCCGCCCCACCCTGGCCCTCTACGGCCACCGCGGGCGGCCTTCCCTCCCGTCCTATAACCTCCCTTGCCCTTCTAGCCCACGAGAGCCTACACTCGATGGTTTCTGCGTCACACAGGCCGCTCTAGGAGCCGCTGTCCTTACTCTTTGGTTTCCGGCTGTGTCCTGGGGCGTCTGGTCGTTTTGACTTCCGAGACGCTTTATGCACGTGGAGAGTAGGGTGGGCTTTGCCACTCTGCCCTCGCAGCCCACATGTTCGAGGAGCCTGAATGGGCCGGGGCGGCCCCAGTAGCCGCAGGCCTTCGGCTGGTAACCCCACAGACTCGGCCAGCGGCAGCCTCGAAAATCAAGGTAAGGGACTCCATAGCGGTAGCGGGATTGCATCAGGCCGCGAATCAGACCCTAATGGATCGCGGTGATGGGGCATGCCTTGCCTGTACGTTTGGGAGAGGGGGTATTTACAGCATAGTAGGTGATCTGAAGATCTGGATCCGAAGTAGTTGGTTGAGTAGAATTTGTTGAAGAGAAGGAGGTTCCTTGGACAGGAAAGGGGCAAGGAGCATTTGCTGTTCTGTTAAAATCCATGGATTGGAACACCGAGTAAATGAAAGGGGGTGCTGTTGAAGAAGTAGAAGTTTTGCATATGTTGAGGCTACAGAAGTCAATGAAGTGTGTTTGGCAGGGGGGTGATTTTTTCAGATTTGAATTTTGAAAAGGAGTTCTCTTACTTCCTTCCTCTTCCCTCTCCATTCTCTTCCATCTCTCTTCTCTCGAGGTTTTGGGAATAATCCAGGACCTTGGGCATTTTGGGCAAGCACACTACCACTGAGCTACATCCCCAGCCTTGAAAAGGTTATTGGTTGAAGTGTGGAGAATAGATAATTGAGTGGAGAGAGTAAGAGTGGGTGACAGGGAAGAGTTGTCAATATTGCTATTCAAGGGGGTGTGGGGTTGATTGAGAACCTTCAAGGTAAATACTTAGCCTAGGAGCACTCATTGGGACTTTTAATCCTGAATCAGCTTCCCTTTTCCTTTAACAGTAGACCTTTTCTTTTCAGGCACAGTAGATGTGAAGACTGCTGTACTTCACAGGCTTTTTCTATCCTTCAGTCAGTCTCCAACATGGACTGCCTACTTTGTTTTCATCCCCACAGCTCATCAGCCTAATCCAGGCCACTGTTCTCTCTGTGTAGCTTCTTCCTTTCAGGTTGTTCTGTATACTGCAACTATCACATTTACTACATGTGATCCTGTTCCTCCTGTGTTGAAGAAACCTCCCTACTTCTAAAGGTATCAGCTGGAGGTAAAAGCCTGAAACAAGGGACTGGAATGGTCTCACTTTGGTTCCCTTGCTTGTGGCCTTAGCACACTCCTCTGGGGAACCTCAATTACTAATCATTTACACATTGAACAGAATAGGGTAGGAGGTTTTTTGGCTCTCTGGCCTTCCAAAGGTTGGGGTGGTGACATGAAAGTTCTGGATCTGGAAAACTTCACTACAGTTGAAGTTGAGTTGGAAAATCCAGATGCCTCTGCCAATATCTGAACCAGGTCCCTATCTCTCCTTTCTTGTCCTCACCCAGTCTCACCCTATTGTCATCCTTTGTTTTCTTCCAGGGTTCCAAGCGCCGCCAGCTTTTGGCCACATTACGGACCCTAGAAGCAGCATCTCTTTCCCAGAAACCCCCTGGTAGCCCACCTGGCAGTGACTATGAGGAGGAGGAAGTTGTAGAACAGAAGAAACAACTGCCAAAGGCCTTGTTTGCCAATTCCTCTGCTAAAGGAGGGGAAAAAAGGAAGAAAAAACATCCAAAACAGGACCCACCTTGCAATGATTCTGAGGACAAGGAAGTAGAAAAGAAGAAGTGTCACAAACAAGTTTTTGACAAAGATTCTGCTGAAGAGAAGAGAAAGAGGAAACACCAAAAACAGACTTCTTCAAACCCAACCCAACACCTGGACAGTGTTGACCAAACAGGTACATTGGATGTGTATATGTACATGTAGTGGAGGGATCATTCAGCTGATTGTACAGAGGATATCCACCATAGGCAATGAGTACTTTTATCCAGGCCAGTCTGTCTTCAAGACTATGGCCAGAATTTAGGGGACCTTGCCTCAAATAATACCTTCCTTTCTGCCTCCCTGCAGACCACGAAGCCTGGAAGAGTAGTGCTACAAATAACCTGCCCAAGCCAAGCCTTGGGTCTCCTTCTCCTAAACACCTGCATACCTTGAGCCGCAAGCAGTGGCGGAATCGGCAAAAGAATAAACGGAGACACAAGAACAAATTTCGTCCACCTCCAGCACCAGATGAGCTTCCTGCCAAGGACTCCACAGAGGACACAGAGGTGCCTCCTGCCCCCACACCAAACAGCCAAGAGACTCGGGCAGGAGCCCTACGAGCCCGCATGGCCCAGCGGCTGGATGGCGCCCGATTTCGCTACCTCAATGAACAGCTGTACTCGGGGCCCAGCAGTGCTGCACAGCGTCTCTTTCAGGAAGACCCTGAGGCTTTCTTTCTCTACCATCGCGGCTTCCAAAGCCAAGTGAAGAAGTGGCCACTGCAGCCAGTAGACCGCATTGCCAGGGATCTTCGCCAGCGGTAAGGGTGGGCTCTTTGAGAAATGGTTTGGGTCATTCAAGGGCTCAGATCAGACCAATGTGTGACCGTTCTCTTCCATTCCCAGGCCTGCATCCCTAGTGGTGGCTGACTTTGGATGTGGAGATTGCCGTCTGGCTTCAAGTATCCGGAACCCTGTGCACTGCTTTGACTTGGCCTCTCTAGATCCCAGGGTCACTGTGTGTGACATGGCCCAGGTAAACCCCTGTATGTATCTGGCCTGTACTCTTTAGTCCCTCTTCCCCCCATTCTAGTATCCAATCCAGTACTGAATGTCTCTTTCAAGCACTATATGCTTCATTCAATATTCCTACTCTCCACAGGTGCCTCTGGAGGATAAATCTGTGGATGTGGCTGTATTTTGCCTTTCACTGATGGGAACCAACATCAGGGACTTCCTGGAGGAGGCAAATCGGGTATTGAAGCCAGGGTAGGAGCCCCTAGGATTTAGATACATATATATGTGTATGCATGTTTCTGCACATTTACACAGAACTTCCTCCTCTTCTCAGGGGTCTTCTGAAAGTGGCTGAGGTTAGCAGCCGCTTTGAGGATGTTCGGGCCTTTCTGGGGGCTGTGACCAAACTGGGCTTCAAGGTCATCTCCAAGGTGAGAACCTCAAGAAGTTTGTTTCTATTTTTGTCTTATGTGTAGTGTTCAGGAAGGAGGCATAGACATGTGAAATAGACATTTTTCTCTCTAGAGGCACAACTCTCAGGAAGCCCTATGAAGCTGTCTTATTAGCGGAAGGATTTAGAGGGAGGTGTTTTGAAGAGTTGTGTGCATTTGGAGCTCACTGGGTCTTTTCTTCCCCTAGGACCTGAGGAACAGTCACTTCTTCTTGTTTGATTTTGAAAAGACTGGGCCCCCTCGGGTAGGGCCCAAGGCTCAACTTTTAGGCCTGAAACTTCAGCCATGCCTCTACAAGCGCAGGTGACCTCTGGACACTCCCTGAAAGGGGAGGCAGGTTCAGAACTCTCAAGACTGAATCCAGCCAAGCTGTGGGCCATGACCTAGTATTGCCTTCCCTCTGTCCCAAGAACAAAGTATGATAAAACCCCTGTCACAGCTCTAAGTGAAGTCTTCTCAGTTACAAGGAGTATAACATCCCTTGGGCAAACTAAAGAATAAGAAATTTGCTGTGAGAAAAGGAAGATATCTGAGGAATATAGATCTTTAGACCTCATGAAAACTAGTTGGTTTGGAATTGAAGGTTCTCTGGATTTGGCTCTTCTTTCCATCTCTCAGAAGGCACATGGGCTTTTTGTCCTGATCTCTCCACTGTGCTCTTTTCTGATCTGTACTGACCAGCCTCTAGTCACTTCTGTCCTCTCAGCTTTAGTCTGCCAAGGCCTTCAAGACTGCAGACAGGTAGCTTGTCTGTCATGGCAATTATAATCTTGGCCTACTATTTACAGCTGGAAGTCATGTAATCTCTGATTATTACATTTCTCTCTTGAAAAATGCTAAAATTTCTGTCTTACAGCATTGTTGTCTGGATTAACTGAGGAGGTCTATAGCCAGGACTGGAAACATAGAAAGTGCTCAATAAACTAACTCTGTCTATTATATGTTGTCTTATTGTTCTTTGAAGACCTTTCTTGGATCTGGTAGAAGGCTGAAGTGAATAGATTTGTTGACTGAGAAAGATTCTGGGAGACTTAAGGTTAAGACTTTCAAGAGACTCATTTCATGGGATGCTTAGAGACTCAATGTATTTTGAACTGTCCTTGGAAAGAGGTAGTCCAGGAGTTGAGTTTCTATTCATGCACAGCTAGTTGATGTCACACTGGTATAGGCAATTGTGCTGCTTATGGTCAAATCGTCTGTCCATTGTTTTTGCCTTGTAGTGGGCCCAGATCAGCATGTCATCAGAGGCTATAGGCAAGCAAGTCTAGTGCTAGGGAAATTTGAGATAGGATGACAGATCCTAAGCCTCCCCTAGAAGGTAGCTGCCTTGGACCCAGTTGTAAAGATATAGCCTCTTCTGTCTAAGAACAAATCTGAGAGTGCCTACTAGAAAAACATAGGTAACAGGGCTCTGAGCCATTTGGATGAGCTGTGAACCATTCAACATAAGTAACACWATGCCTTTGCATGTTTTGTTCTCTACTGACTTTAGCAAAGTTTTTCTCATCTGACTTTAGGAAAGTTTGTCATCCTAAATATAGTCGTTTCATATTCCCCCACTCCCAAAGCAGAATTATTTTTCATCTGTGTTCTCAAAGTACTACACAAAGAGTTAGCATTTAAATACTGTGTGTTGTAGTTACTCTGTTGATTAGGCTTCAGTCTTCTGAGCCATATTTAGTTTTGTGTTTCCACAGCTTATCACCTGAGGTATAGCCAATGTACTCATTTACCTAGGGAAGGCTAAGAAATGACAAGATCTATTCGAGTTGAGATTGATGAGAGTAGCAGTATTGTAAAAGTCTAGGTTTGTAGCATAAGATCAAARTGTTGTGGACTAGTGATGAAAGAAGTAGGAGAACTTCATTAGATAGAATTGGTGGGATGTCAAGGGTGGTTGAGAGAATGGAATCTGCAGTAAGTTCCAGGTTTCTGGCTTGAGCAACTGGGTGGGCTGATGATACCTGTTAAGGTGTTCAGATACTCATCAGATGTCATTTGAAAGTGAGACAAGCTAGGGGTAATGGTGCATGCCTATAGTCCTAACTACTGCAAGGCTTAAGCAATAGCTAGAACTGGGTTGTGTTTGCTCATTTGAGTCCAAGAGTTTGAAACTAGCCTAAGCAACATAGTGAGACCTGTCTCAAAAAAAGAAAAAGAAAGAAAAGTATGAGACATGGGTGAAATTGTGCCAGGGATTTGGGGATGTAACCTAGAGGTGGTAAAGTTGATGGAATAGATAAAGTATTAATGATAGGAAAAAAAAAAAAAGAGAAAGTGGCTCAGAATTGAATTCTGAAGTGCATTTAATAGATGGACAAAGGAAAGTTAACCAGTAAAGGTGACAAGATGAGAAGGTTGAACCATACAGGAGTAAAATCAGAAAAGTAGTTTTTTTAATACAGGAGGAATGGGCACATTGTCAACTATCATATGCTGTTTAGAGGTCTATTAAAATGAGAGAGAAGTCAGATTGCAATTGAGTGAAGATTGCTGCACAATGGTGAGGGCGGTTTGAATTTGTCATATTCTTGAATTTACAGTTTTACCAGTCAATCTAATGATGTGGTTGTCTTTATCTACTCAGGAATCTGGGTATAACTGTGAAAGAGGGGAGTATTATGGGATCATCCAGAGTTGATGTCATGCAACTGAAATGAACGGATAATGAGCAAAGGAGTTTTAGGCTATCACATRTAAGTGATGGCTGTGCTGAATTGTGGAGTTTTGTAGAATAGGTAAGAGAGTGGAGATCGGAGTAGGTTTTTGTATGGCAAGTTGTACGATAATCAGACAAGTGACCTGGGAAGATGGGAAACTTACAGAAATCAGAAGCCTGAATTATTAATTTTAGAAACAGAGCACCTCCAGGTGAGGGTAGTCTAGGGTGTGTCCACTGGGGTAAGTGCCTAAGAGACATGAAAGGGAGGTTGCCTGGAGATTGGATAATGAACTGAGGGTCAGGTATTATGGGGAGGGGGTTGTCTGTGTAGATTTGAATTTCTCCAGAATGATAGTAAAGTTGACAGTGGAGCAGGTACCAACTTCTTGAAGGGAGGAGATGCTCCAGAAGATCTATGGACAAAGAAAGGGAGGGAGAGGGCAGGATGGCATTTATTTCAAAAAAGCAGAATTTATACAACCTACTAGAAAGACTTCCATGTTAGGGGTAATGTGAGCTGGTGAGTGGAGCTGGCTGCCAGGCAGCCAACATAAAATGCTCTGACAGTCCTCTCCAGTTTCATGGAATTTATTGGGAGACTATTGTGGCATGAAGTAGGAGCTTCCTGTAATAACCAAGTGGGAGGCAATCCATAAAGATTAATAAATGTGTTTTTGAGTATCAAAAGTATCTCACTGTAGGATACACAATCATCTTTCATAGCTAGCTCCACATTTGCCTTTTTTCCCAAATGTTACTAACATTCATAGCTCTGGAGTATTTCCTATGTTTTCTCATTAAACTCAGCAGGCCAGCTGAGGTCTGCCTTATAATTTGGATACTCCCTTTGCCTATTGTGATTGCAGCCACCTGAATAAACATCTCTCTGAATCTGACTCAGGCCCTAGTGTCATCACATCAGTCATCCTGATTCCAAAAGCAGGACTCTCCTAAGCCTGATCTGGGTCCTGCCTTCTCTGTCATCAGCTTCAGGACAAACTTGTTCAAGTCCATTCTTGGGCTTCAATGTCTTTTGTTGAGAGTCCATACTAATAGAAAAATAATGTATATTTCATTAAGGAATAATAGCTTGCTCACTGATTAAGGAACTGGAAACCTGTGTGGCTAAAACTGATTGAAGGAGGGACAAGAGTAGTAGGAGACAGATTGAATTAGAAGGGTATTACTGCTAGAATATGAAAGGCAGTGGTTCTCAAACTTTAGAGTTCATTAGAATCACCTACAAGGCTCATTATTGTGCAGATTTCTAGCCTTCTCCCTGAGTTTCTGGGTCAGTAAATTAAGATCAGTCCCCACAAATTCTTTTCTGGTTGTTTGAATTTTTTCAGTGAAACAGGAAGCAAATTTGTTGGTTGAAAGTGAGAATGGTGAGGAGGTGTTGGGGTTTAAAGGAAAAGAGAAGTAAATATTATTTCTAGGAGAATGGATGAAGGAATGATTGAACTAGTGCTGGCAGCATTTATAGCATACTAGAAGTTCAAGTCATAAGTAAAAAGGATGGGATAGGAGCAGATTGGTACAAGATTGTTTTTCAGAAAATTTGTTTCTCAGTGTACAGCGGGTCTGTCAGAACCTAATCCCTTCTTTAGGGAGGGGCAGGATTTTGCCCTCCTACTTCAAGTCCCTTGGAAACTTCACTGGGACTATTTAGGGAGCATGAGGTACTTATTCCTACAGCTGAGGAATGATGAGTTTGGAGTCTGATCCCTACCCTGGAAATGTACAGGGCAAGTAAAAGCTCACAAACTCTTTCAGTGGTGGGGTCAAGAGATTGCTGCTGCTTTGACATTGGTCTCCATTTCCAGAATTTCCTCTGGCAAGTGATGCATATGTGTATCCTCTTTCCTTGCAGGAAAGAGGGAACTGTGGGGTTGGGTCTTCGGTCTTGTCCAATAGGACCATTTTGAAGAGGCTAGGAGACTTGGCACAGATAAGTGAGGAGTGTGCCATGTGGGCTGGGGAGGGAGTTGCAGGGTTCCACCCAGAATATATATGTATCCACCAAGGTCTCTAGGTGACAGCAGGGATTTACCTATGAAATATCTGTCAGGCACATAGGACACATAACCTCCCAGTCAAGCCAGACTGTTTTACCCCCTTACTTTCTCTCTCTCTCTCTCTCTCTCTCTCTCTCTCTCTCGACTTGGGCACACAATAAATAGCAGCAATTAGGTGGAGATGAAGTATGAAAGAGCACTCCTCCTTTCCCCAAAGCAGGCTCCTTGACTTTTAAGTGGGGCAGAGCTGAGAGGGGAAAAGATTTAAAGCCATGAGAGGTACAAATTATTTATTGTTAGACATATTTAGATATTATTTGAAATTATGTTTTGTCTTTAAACTGGTCATAGAACTACAGGCTTGATGGTGCACACCTGTAATCCCAGCAGCTCGAGTGGCTAGGGCAGGAGGATTTCGAGTGCATAGCCAGCCTCAGCAAAAGTGAGGCACTAAACAACTCATTGAGATCCTGTCTCTAAATAAATACAAAATAGGGCTGGAGATATGGCTCATTGGCAAGTCCCCCTGAGTTTAATCCCTAGTACAAAAAAAAAAAAAAAAAAACCACAAGAAGAAGAAGAAGAAGAACTATCTGTTAACTAAGAATCTCACAGACTTGCTGCAGCTTTTCTCCATAGCAAGGAAAGAGTCCTCTCCAATGAATACAGTTTGCAGAGATGGTAAGAGAAAAGAATAAAGTTGGTTTGGATGTCTATCAGTCTGGGCGTGGTCTTGTTCAGCATYCCTTTTAGAGGTCTGCAAGTAAATAGGTCTTGCTTCCGCAGTTGTGTGCTCCTGCTTTTGCTTCCATAATACAGTCCTAAGCGAACACATCTCCAAAAGAAACAACATGATTTTGGCAGAGACAACAGTTCAGCTTCAAACACTAACCCATTATGTAATTGCACAAAGCCCTCTATAACTTCTACAGACAGAAACTAGTAATTAGAGCCTTTCATTTCCAGATCATTCTCTTTCCAGGTGACTTCTCTGACCAGCCACCTGGTTCCAGGACATTTCACCGCTGCATTAACTACCTTACTGGTCTAATTGCTTCTGCTTCCCAAAGCAATTCATTGTGCACATAGCCAAGTGATCTTTTTAAAATGTAAATGAGATTATGTCATTTCTCTGCTTAAAATCCTTCAATGGATTCTCATTGCCTCGAGAACAAAAAACAGACTTCTTCCCAGGCCCTGTGTGATCTTGCCCAAGCCTTGCTGTCCAACTGTGCCTTAACCCACTCCTCCCCCTCTCTCAGAACTCCAGCTACACAGGCTTTCCATTCGTTTCTCATGCATCCCAAGTTGTTTCTACTTTAGGGTTTTTTACACATGTTGCTTCATCTACCTAGAACTCTTTCCCAGGTGAGTTCATTTTCATCTTCCAGTGATTTTTTAGGATGCACACACACAGACTCACACCTCAGATAGAACCCCTTTTGGTTCAATGTATTGCATTTATCTTCTCCCACTCTGGTTTGTCTTTTTACTCTCATTACGGGTGCTTATTGATGAACAGATTTTTTTGTTTGTTTGGAAGAGAGAGAGTTGCAGTGTTTTGCACAGACTGGCCTCAACAACTTGGGCTCAAGCAAATCTCCTGCCTCAGATAGAACCCCTTTTGGTTCAATGTATTGCATTTATCTTCTCCCACTCTGGTTTGTCTTTTTACTCTCATTACGGGTGCTTATTGATGAACAGATTTTTTTGTTTGTTTGGAAGAGAGAGAGTTGCAGTGTTTTGCACAGACTGGCCTCAACAACTTGGGCTCAAGCAAATCTCCTGCCTCAGCCTCCTGAGTAGTTGGAACCACAAGTATTCATGGTATGCCCTGAGCAGAAGTTTGTAATTTTATTTTATTATATATTTTTAATTTCGGGGTTTTTGTTGTTATGCTTTTTAGATATATATGACAGTAGAGCGTATTTTGACATACATCCATGGAGTATAATTTATTCTAATTAGGATCCCATTCTTGCAGTTATACATCATGTGAAGTTTTACTGGTCGTGTATTCATAAAGACATAGGAAAGTTATATCGATTCATTTTATCATCTTTCCTATTCCTGTCTTCCCTCCCTTCCCTTTTTTTTTTTTTTTTTTTTTTTTTTTTGGTACTTAAGGATCGAACCCAGGGGCACTTAACCACTGAGCCATATCCCTTAGCCGTTCTTTATATTTTATTTAGAGACAAGGTTTTGCTAAGTTGCTGAGCCTGGCTTTGAACTCATGGTCCTCCTACCTCAGCCTTGCCAGCCAGTAGGATTACAGGCGTGCTCCATTGCGCCTAGCTCTCTCCATGTTCTTGATTGTTTCCTTTGATGTGAAGAAGCTTTTTAGTTTGATAAAATCCCATTTATTTATTCTTGATTATACTTCTTGTGCCTTAAATGTACTGTTGAGGAAGTCAGCTCCTAAGCTGACATGATAGAGAGTTGGACCTATTTTTTCTTCTAGTAGTCATAGGGTCTGTGGTCTAATGCCTAGATCCTTGATCTACTTTGAGTTGATTTTTGTGCAGGGTGAGACATAGGGGTTCAATTTCATTCTACTACATATGGATTTCCAGTTTCCCCAGCGCCATTTGTTGAAGAAGCTATCTTTAGTGTATGTTTATGGAGCCTTTGTCTAGGATGAGATACCTGTATTTATGTGAGTTTGTCTCTGTCTTCTATTCTGTTCCACTGGTCTTCATGTCTATTTTTGACTGTAGTTCTGTAGTATAATTTAAGTTCTGGTATAGTGATGCCTCCTGCTTCACTTTTTTTTTCTCATTTTTTTATTGTTTTATTTTTTAAATACATGACRGCGGAATGCATCACAATTCTTATTACACATATAGAAAATATTTTCATACTTCTGTTTATATATAAAGTATGTTCACATYAATTCATGTCTTCATTCCACCATCCTTGCTAATCCCCTGCCCCCTCCCTTTCCCTCCCACCCTTCTTCCCTATCTAGAATTTATCTATTACTCCTATGATCTCCCTCTACTACCCCACTATGAGTCAGCCTCCTTATATCAGAGAAAACATTCAGCATTTGGTTTTTTTGGATTGGCTAACTTCACTTTGCATTATCTTCTCCAACGCCATCCATTTACCTGCAGATGCCATGATTTTATTCTCTTTTATTGCTGAGTAAAATAACTTTGTATATATATGCCACATTTTTTTTTATCCATTCATTCACTGAAGGGCATCTAGGTTGGCTCCACAGTTTAGCTATTGTGAATTGTGCTGCTATAAACATTGTTGTGGCTGTGTCCCTATAGTATGCTGTTTTTAAGTCCTTTGGGTATAGTCGGAGGAGAGGGATAGCTGGGACAAATGGTGGTTCTATTCCCAGATTTCAAGGAATCTCCATACTGCTTTCCATATTGGCTGCACCAATTTTCCTGCTTCACTTTTCTCGCTAAGGATTGCTTTGGGTATTCTGGGCCTCTTTTATTTTTCCAAATGAATTTCATGACTGCTTTTTCTATACCTATGGGCAACATCATTGGAATTTTAATAGGAATTGCATTAAATCTGTATAGCACTTTCAGTAGTATGGCCATTTTGACAATATTAATTCTGCCTATCCAAGGACATGGGAGATCTTTTCATTTTCTAAGGTCTTCTTCAATTTCTTTCTTTAATGTTCTGTCGTTTTCATCGTAGAGGTCTTTTACCTCTTGTTAGATTGATTTCCAAGTTTTTTTTTTTGTTGTTTTTTTTTTTGACACTACTGTGAATGGGATAGTTTTCCTGATTTCTCTTTCAACTGATTCATCATTGATGTGTAGGAACTCAATTTATTGGTGTTAATTTTATGTCTTGCTATCTTTCTGAATTCGTTTATGAGTTCTAGAAGCTTTCTGGTGGAGTTTTTTGGGGTCTTCTAAATATAAAATCATGTCTTCAGCAAATAGAGATAACTTGAGCTCTTCTTTCCCTATTCATATCAATTTAATTTCTTTCTTTTGTCTAATTGTTCTGTCAAAGGTTTCAGGGACTATATTGAATAGAAGTGGTGAAAGAGGGCATTCCTGTCGTTCCAGTTTTTAGAGGGAATGCTTTCAATTTTTCTCCATTTAGAATAATGTTGGCCTTGGGTTTGGCATAGATAGCTTTTACAATGTGGAGGTATGTTCCTACTATCTCTAGATTTTCTTGTGTTTTGAATATGAATGGATGGTGAAATTTGTCAAATCCTTTTTTCTGTACCTATTGAGATAATCATGTGAATCTTCTTTTCATAAGTTTTCATAAGCAATGCCAGTATTTTATTAAGAATTTTTGTATCTATGTTCATCATGAATATTGATCTTAAGTTTTCATTTCTTGATGTATCTTTGTCTGGTTTCAGTATCAAGGCGATGCTAGCTTCATAGAATGAGTTTGGAAGGGTTCCCTCCTTTTCTATTTCATGGAATAACTTGAGGAGTATTGGTATAAGTTCGTCTTTGAAAGTCTGGTAGAACTTGGCAAAGAATCTGTCTGGTCCTGGGCTTTTCTTTTTTGGTGGACTTTTGATGTCATTTTCAATATCATTGCTTGAAATTGATCTGTTTAAATTTTCTATATCCACCTGATTCAATTTGGGTAGTTCATCTCTCTCTAGAAATTTGTCCATATCTTTGTGATTTTTCCATTTTATTGTAGTTTCTGATTACTCTTTGTATTTCAGTAGTTTCTATCATATTTCCTTTTTCATCCAAATTTTAGTAATTTGAGTTTTTTTCTCTATTAGTTTGACTAAGAGTTTATCAATTTTGTTTATATTTTTCAAAGAACCAACTTGTTTCATTTAGTTTTTTGAAGCTTTTTTGTTTGTTTCAATTTCATTGATTTCAATTCTGATTTTAATTATTTTTTGTCTTTTACTGCTTTTGGTGTTGATTTATTCTTTTTCTAGGGCTTTGAGATGTAATGTTATTTGTTGACTTTCTATTCTTTTAACAAATGAACTCAATGCAATGAACTTTCCTCTTAGAACTGTGTTCATATTGTCYCAGACGTTTGATATTTTGTGTTGCTATTCTCATTTACCTCTAAGTATTTTTTTTCTTTCTTTTAAATTTTCTTTTAAGCTTTCCCTGTGAGCTCAAAAGTGATTCAAGAAAGGTTTTGCTAAACAAACTGAAGCACGCTTGTCATTACATTAAAAGGTAAGAAAACAATTTAAGGAGACAGCCAGCATCAAGGGCCCAGAAACACTGTGGTGCCAT